TCCCACTGTGACAGCGACATTCACCTCTACCACAACTCACGACCTCACAATTCCCTGCGCCTGCCACGAATCTTTCCGCACCCACACGTCTAAAGCGAACAAAGTACTGTGCCTGCCACGAAATGTCACCTCCGTCACACCTCGCAACCTCACCATTCCCTGCGCCTGCCACGAGAATCGCACTTCCACGCCTCAAAACCCACACAAAGTACTGCGCCAGCCACGAAAAGTGACAATATCATCTCATGTGCGCTTCAACAAAATTTGCACCACACCACACGTTTGGAATGATTTCGACCCGTTCTGAGCACACTCCCATCCACCAAAATCGCCATTTCAGCTGAGACTGGAGCTTCGATGCAACACCCTGAAACGCGAATCCCAATGGCACGGCCACATCCAACACCCCCAAAACACGACTCTCCAAACGCTAATCCCAATGGAACTGCGTAGCAAACTGCGGATCTCACAAAACGCTGCGCCTGTGCCGCGAAATGCATCACGCTTCTTGCGCGACATGTCATTTTCATGCAAATCACAATGGAATAGCGGCGCAAACTGACGCGTGACACATCCATGAAAAGTCACTTGCAAAAGCTTCCCCCAATGGCAGCGCCTTAGCGTTCTACTGCCAACGGTTGCGAACACCTGAGAACGGTTGCGAACGGTTGCGGACGGTTGCGAACATAGAAACAATGGGTCGCGAACAAGGCTCTACCCCCAGACCCCCAGAGTTGAACGAGAACCCTTCGCTACGCATTCGGGAAAAAGAACGGGTTTGTTACGGTTCGTCAATGCCACAACAGCCTAACAGCCCAGCAACACGCGTAAAAAGTATGTGGTGCGCTTTCACTCCGTACCTGCCCCTGTAGAAGCATATCATCTGCAATGTGAATGTTTCTTCATTCCCACAAGCTCCTTTGCGGACTTTTTGGCTTTCTTTCATAACACTCTCTCTTTTGCAAAAAGTCTTACCCCAGTACCTACGTACCAGAAACCTTTTTGGTCATTTAGACTAAAATCTCTGTAAAAGAGTTGTTTCAGGCGGGGTTGATCAAAGGGATTTGACCCTGCATTATTGACATTGCGCACACAGAAACCTCCTCTGAAGACATTGCGCATTGAACAAGAGCTTAATTATCTAAAATATATTGAATTCCTTAGTCCATACAAAACCACATTGAACAAGCAAACTGCTTAACGCAAAAAAGATGTGTGTGTGTGTTTTTTGTTATGGTAGCTATGTCGTTTGCAATATGTGATTGCTTATCTCCAGCCCTTTTCACACCACCCTTACCGTTTCATTGTTCAAGAAGTGGATCTAGAAGTGAAGTTATGCCGCTAAATTCAATTTCCTCAGGAGTGCTGTGTTTGTGTGTTGGGCCGAAACAAGCACGCAATGGCCTCCAACCTAGAAGCGATGGCCTCCACCCCAATAGCGATGGCCTCCACCCTATGCTCAATAGCGTAATGCACAAATGTACTTTGGAGATCTTTGGAGAGGGGTGAGATCAAAAGGTTGTGCCCGCATTAAACGACATCTAAGATTGTCGGGGACTTCCAAAAGCAATCTTGCCTGCAGTTAGGCAGCACAATAGGTAGTAAAATGACCAATATTTGTCAGTACCTGCATGAAGTCGAGAACCAAAACTGCACAGAACTCTTGGCAGGAATCTTGGACCTTGGTTTTTAGTTCCAGGCTTGTACTAGTACATCTGATTGCATTCGTGTTCCAAATTTACAACTCATGCATGTTGAGTTTTAGTTTTTTGTTTTCCATCTTCACCTGTTGTGTGCACCCCAATGGGGAACCTAGTTGAACACTGTAAACTGCAAATACCACTGAATTTTTAACATAAGCGGGGTATCGGAGCGGGGTACCATGTCTGAAATCCAGACGGTTTTTTAAAGAATGTGAAATGTTTTAGCCTCACATGTACTTTCATACGTCATTTGTTGTTTTTTGAATAGTCCCTTTTCGGAATTTGTCGTGGCAAATATGCGTATTTAGCGCGCGTGTTTTCGTCGGTCAATGTAAAACACACTGTAATTACAACTTCAGAAATGTTCCACGATTCCGAGGGTTTTGGTCGGATGGCACGTTAACGTTCAGTTCAATTTGCACACCCATACAGAAGAAGCCCGTCTACGCTGCTACACAATGCGAGTGACTGAGGGTGGGGTGGGGTGGGGTAGCGTCGACAAAAGCTCTACGCGCAATGGGAAGCGTACGGCTTGAAAGTGTGCTTCCAATCCGACCTGGAGACTGTTTGGATGGGACCTTTTGGACGCTGGAGATATAGTTGGCTGATTATACAGATGTCCTTCCTTTTTCGCTATGTGTCTTCCTCAAAAAAATGTTGCGTCTTTTTCGTCAACGTGTCACAGTCTTAAGTACACCCATGAGGATGTATACATATCATATATATATATATACATATGAGGGACGGTCAAAACTCCTTATTATTCTTCACCTAAAACATCGACGTCATAGGTTTTGAGTTGGACCTTATCGTTCTACAGTGTTTTGAGTTCGTCGCATACTTATGACTTATGATCATATATAGCGCTGGGGTTATCGGTTTTGAGGTGGACCTTATCGTTTTGCAGGGTTTTGTGCACAAACCTACCCCTCTTTACTAAAGTGGTCTTCGCATTTTTTGACCGTCGCTCATATTATGTGTGTGATTGTATATGGGTGTTCTCTCTCTCTCTCTGCCTCTCTTCTTCCCAGCTTCACCACTTACGCTTTGCCCAAACTACAGTCCTGATCCTCTTCTTCAATCAGCTCAGGATATTCATCAAGCAGCACTTCGACATTTTCTATGTCCCCGGCCTTTACGGCATGGTGAAGCCGATTCACCCCGATGTCCTTTGCAAGCTCCGCCGCATTGACGCTCGGCCAGGACCAAAGCCTGAGAGGGTGAAGACACAAGGTTAGGTGCAAAACAAGCACGCAATGGCCTCCAACCTAGAAGCGTCCTTGCTCCGAGCAGCGATGCCCTTTGTTCCTAGTAGCTTCTTGTTCCTAGTAGTAAGGCCAGGAGCCCCTAGTAGCGTCCTTGCTCCTAATAGCAGTGGCCTCCAACCTAGAAGCGATGGCCTCCAACCCTACATACTAATTTGGGGAATAGCTTCCAGAACCATGGCGGTTTGGAAAGTCTTGCTGCGAGAGGATGCCAACTGTTCAGGCAGCCCCTGCAGCTTTCCAAGGTGTTCAACATCCATACTCTCAGCATCCATGTTCGCATAATAGGTCCTAGACCATCATACCCACTTTCAATCGCCAAACCTGGATCTCGTATGTTACTCGTAAGTTACAGTACTCTTCCATTTCTTTCCGCAGGAACGCCATAAATCCAGGACCTGGCGAAACTTACTGGTTACTGTTGGTACATCCGCCATGTTCTCTCAAACACAGTAATGTTGAGTCACGCCCAATTAACCCCTTTCAATAGACAAACGAACGAAGCAGTGGAACGAAATGAACAAAGCAAACAGGTTTCTCAATGTTCTTCATGCCCCCACAACTCTTCTCCCTGCCACGCCCAACAGTGCGCTGCATGTGTAGACTTGTCGGCATCGCGAAAACTGCTTGTCGAATGCTTGGTGGGAATGGGAATACGTCTGCATATTGCGCTAATTCAGTGTGTCCACATTTGCACTGTACCCTCGCCAAAGCCTCCTGGATTAATCTACGAAACAAAGGCTGATTGATTCTTGCCCCGCCACGGGCCCAACCTCAAGTTGTCTATACTGGTGAATTGGATTGCCCATGCTGCCTGATCAGTTCTCACTGCGTTTCGCATATTTCCGCCTGTGTCTCAATGTACCTGGGTCGTATCGACCATGCTGCTCCCAGTCTGCTTGCACGAACGGCTAGAATCTTAACGTCTCGCTGTGTGTAAGTGATTATTCTAGGCTTGCAGACCATTTGTAGCCCCAGGTGGCCATTCGCTGTGCTTTCAACTGCTCGGTGACTCCAGTGTGCTCTTGTCTTTGAGCTAAACCTCCATACCTATCCATACCTGTTGTAATTGTGTATATTTTTTTAGGGATCAGCACTTGTGGTCCCCGGGATTGCCTCCTGCAGTCCCATGAAGCCTTGAAAAGTCCACTATATAGCACTAGCGACAGCATGTTTCAGGTGTGCCTCTATTGGTCCAGAATTCTTTTCCTGAATAATTTCTCGGCTAGCCATGGGTAAGTGCTGGAAGGAGAATGTGCATCGTTTCGCTGGATAGCTTGAATGGATGGATAGCATGCAAATAAAAGGGGATTCATCACCATGTGATGCAAAACGGAATGGACAAAATCATCAAGATGCAGGGGATGCCCAAAAGTGAGTGACACCTCTGAATGAGACACTGGCTCAATTGACCGGGGCTTTGGGGCAAGTGAACCCGTGTCATGAATAGGTTCAATATGTTTCAATCATCACATGGGGCTCCAGGTATATGAGTTATTCTCATCCCAGACAAGTGGCGGAGGCGTCGACTCCTGGCAGAAGGTGTGCAAAACATTCGAGAAAAGGTGCAAACAATCGGTGCAAGCTCCTTCCCGAGATTTTATCAGTCAAGAATACTGAGATTCGGCTTGTGCTTAGATTCCTGTCAATGCACATCATTCGATGCCTGGTGATTCTGCTGGCCGTGGATGCCACCACCGTCTAGCCTTGATTGAAATAAGTTGGTTCTGAGAACTGCTTCCTGAAGTGTGGCTCTATGATTTACAGTACATTCAATAGGCTCCAACTATTGGTTGTTTTGGCCACATTCCCTTTGCAATGCTTGTGTTGAAAATCTGCAAATGCCCAAAGAAAACAACTAAACGCATGTCCAAGGGTCTGCTTGAGAACAAGATCCGCCTGAGGCAGCTGCAGTGATTGTGGCGTGATAACGCCACATATCATTAAAGAAAAGCAAGCATCTCTCATAAGAACATTTCGGCCTTTGTTGAATATATATATATATATTGTAAGGTTTCCATGTAGCTTTCTCCCCAAAGAAGTGATAGAGCTACAACCACAATGAATAATGATTGTCGTTGGAAGCACGCGTCTTCAGATTGAGCTTTAGCTCCTTTAGCTTTTTCTTCGCAAAACTGAAATTTTCTGAAACGCCTTGAAACCTTCCTCAAGCTGGCGGATCCGCTTCTTCTTCTTTTTCTTCTTAAAGCTGACCTCAGTAAGTGGACCCACCCCAAAAAAGCAGCTCTGTTCAGCACTGCAAGACTTCAACGCCTCATTTTTAGCCAGCACTTTTCTTTTTGCTTCTTTCCAATTGGCCTGTCAAAGAAATCTGTGTAGCGCCAATTAAGACTTTGGAACATCAAGACCAAGATATGGCCAATTCTGACGTGTCAAACAACAGAAACTTGATGTGATATGTCAGGATAGTGTGCCGTCAAAAAGCATCCTACGCATAAAAGGCTCTCTGTTTTGACACCCTGAGCCAAGGCCTGTCCGACTTCATTGACAGCAAGAACGCCCCCTTCGGGGGTCACGGTTGCCTCGACCTACCGCCGAAGTGAGCGAAGCGAAGATGAAGGGAACACGTGTCACACGGTCGTGTCAAAACAAGGCTTCGAAGTGGGGGAAGGCAGTGAAGCTTGGTAAAATAGGTTGATTCAAAGGCAACCAGCTGAATTTTGAAGTTCTCAAATTCCTACCTCATCCGGAGTCGCGTCGGAAGTGTCACTCCACAAGGACGACGTGGCCATGGCATCGCCTGGTCCCATCTTTGATGTTCACAAGGAGCTCCGCACCCAGCACTTGTAGTGCTTTTATACAAGAAAAATCTAACGGTCTAGTCACAAAGCAACAAATTTAGGCAGCTTTAAAAGGCACGAGATGTCTGTCTTCCCTGCCTCTGCAGCTGTCTGGCAAGCCCAGTCAGCTTGATGGCAATGCACTATGCAAGCGCGTTTGGAAGATGCAATTGACATGCAGCAAGTTGTCCATGGCTTTTGCAAAACCCAAGCTGTTCAGGGTACAAGAACGTGGGTTTAGAGCAAACAGTATAGCCATCCCACAACCTCAGTGGCTTATTTGGGAGTTGATCTAAATTCCTTTATCCGGGATCCGTCATTTTCGCCGAAAAAAACATACTTCAGCCAAACTTCCGCCTTTCTGCGTTTTATCTTTCGCCGAAGTATGTTGTATTTATGTGTGCCATGTATGTTGTGTTTTGTTCACGTCAATAGCTTCTTCTTTAATGGCAAACACAAAATAGAAACTTCACTGTTTGTCAGCATGTGTCTTCTACTTAACTGTTGACACCCTGTACGTCTCTTTTGTTTCTCCTGGGTGTCAGCAAGAATCAAAATTGCAAGAATCACTGTAGTAGCCGGTCACTCAAACTTACTCATAATGGGTAGTGGTAGTGGTAGTGGTAGTGGTAGTGGTAGTGGTGGTAGCAGTAGTAGTAGTAGTAGTAGTAGTAGTAGTAGCCGCAGCAGCAGCAGGTGATCTAACTTCCACAGCTCATCTAACTTCTGAGTCACTGCCACCAGCTGTTCAGGAAGCAAATAAACATTCATACAAAAGTACATATTTAATCGTTCGCCAGATCTTTCGCCAAAAAAAATTACTTTCGCCAACTCGAGAAAACACTTTCGCCAAATGAGATTTTGATATGTTCCGGGTCATCGTCATACAGCACAATGCTGTCTAGGACCTTTAGATCGACAACCATTTAGACATTTGCCACTTGCCCAAGACAAGACCTTAAGGCCTAGCAGGGGATGTCAAAGCATCTCGCAACCCGTTTCTCAAGGATCCAACAATGCAAACTGAAATAATTCACATACCGGTGAAATCCAACATGATGTGTGGCTGATACAGTATATCACTGCTTCTTGACTTGGCCAATTCGCGATGTTTCATGACTTTTCTGCAAACAGAAGCGGCGTGTCCACTTCTAAGTTTCAGCTGTTGTCCTTCTTCAGGAAGATTCGAGTGAAGCTTCCTGGCGACCTGCAACAATGTGTTCTGTAAAGTTCTGTCTGTTGAATGGAATGCCTGACCATGCAGCAGCCAACTGCGGTGGTCCCTCCTGCTGTGGGCATGCAGGCCAAAGAGCAAGAGCGGTACCACCACGGCCTAAAGCGTTTCCAGCAAGCAACAGGGTCGTATCGCCGGGTACTCGAGCAATACTTGAAATTGGTGATGTTCCCTTTGGATCAAAAGAGTTTCACAAAGGCAGAAGCTCAAGGGGCTGGGACAGCACAAGCTCAACACAGATCAGCGTCAGCCGACCCAAAACCATGCATCATACATCCAAACATCGTACTTGACCTTTTTGAGCGGCCCTAAAAACGGTGCAACAAATCAATGAGAGAGCGGCTGCGATAAATAGGTTCGTGGTGAGGTTCCGCCAAGCTCTTCTTCGTCGAATCCTGGGATGGCGAGGTTGAAAAAACAACATGCAGAATGCCACCGACTACGGCGACGGCGACTATGATGCCCAAAACATTCAGCGCCTGTGAAGATGCTGGCGCCTCATCTGCGAGGCCCTTAGTTCTGTCCGGGGCAGAAAACTGAAGTGGTTTGGCTGTCCTTGTTTGATATTGTTTGGCCTTCTTTTCATCTATTCTTTCAACTCATCATGACCAACAAGCTCACTGCGGTAAGATTTGCTGACTGCATGAGTACAAGCAAGAGTCCATAAAGAGCATGTCTAACAATCTCATTCATGAACTATATAAGTGTAAATAAAAATCTAGGAATCAAATGATTAGTGCGAGCCCTATCCTGCTAGGAGCGTCCGGTACCTTATAGAGCTACTAATGGTAGCCAGTAGCCTATACCCACTCAAGCGGCCTACCCCCCTCCCGCAGAGCGGGCCAAAAAGGGGTTCTCAACTTGTTACTAGTAGCTTCTTGTTACTACTAGTAAGGCACTTGTTACTAGAATCGATGCACTTGTTCTTAGTAGCTTCTTGTTACTACTAGTAAGGCACT